CAACCTTGACTCTGCCAGAAAGGCACGCGAGGCTCACCTCATTAAAAAAGCTATGACTTTAGAGCCTTCTGGTATAAATAGACGTGATGAACTCAATAATTGACATTTATCTTTTTAGTAGCCTATCATTTTCTGTTTGCTATGTATTCAAATCCCGCATATGTAACGTTCATCTTTTATCTGTATTCAGTTTTATTTTATAGCCCCCGTTGAATGTTTGTGTTGAAAACCGAAATATCGGGCAAATATAATTCACCACTTTATTATTTTTTTTTTCATTATTTTTTCTATCACTCTTCTGGCCGTAAGGATTAGTTTACTGTTTTAAGTTTAAAATTTGGTACTCAAGATTTTAGTGATCCAAGTCTACTAAAGATCCGGCGGACCCGCACTGTTTGTCGTTGTGGTTTTGCCTTCACAAGTGTTTTTAAGACACAACACAGCCCACTAGTAGGCGAGGTGAAACGACAGGCGTGGCTCCTGAACAAGTCATTCAACCACGTCGTTCATCCGGTGTAAGGAAGCCGCCAGCTTGTCACGACGATTACCCGATGAACTATGTAAGAAAAAGGAGATGGCACTATATTCGATTTGTGACATTTTAATATCCGACATGACAGTAAATCAACATAGGGACTTGCGTTATGTAATGTAATGTAATGTAATGTCATGTAAATAGTAGTAATAATAGTGGAATCATCGCCTTGTTTACAATCCACTGTTAGAACAATAATTCATTGATTCTTTTGTAATGTTGGGAGATTCGTTATTAAAACTGTAAGTGACTAGTTGATTCGTCTCTCTCTCTGTATGTCGCTAATTCGGACGACATAAAACGCTACATCGATCATTTCCTCCGCGAGCAGACGCTTTTTTCGGCCCTTGTTTCGCCCGCCGAGAAAATAGCGTCTGCGATCTCCAGCTGCGAAACGATTTCCATGACGTCAGTGTTTTTTTCAATCCCGATTTCCAGGTTATTATGTTTGCGTCGCATGTATGTAGCCAGCATCACGCGCTTTTTGCAATCTGATCACGCTTGTTCTGATCATCGGTCACGTGAAACTTACGCAATGCACAGCGTTGGAGCAGGCGTTTCAACCTTCGATCGTTGTCGCCCGTACTGCTTAACCTTTGGATATTATTACAGTCGAACGTGTATATAACGGCCACCCTCGGGACTTGAGGAACTGGCCGCTTAATACTAGTCTGCTGTACGGCCGTTTTTAGTGTCGTCACGCAACGCTCCTCCTGGGGAGGAGCGTTGCGTGACGACACTAAAAACGGCTGTGTAGCAGACTAGCTTAATACAGGATCACTAAAAATACTCACTGGGCGTGGTCTAACGTCTATTTATCATACCAAAATACTTCATGCAAGGAATAAATAGGGCAGTCAACAATTCTTTCAAGCGATCAATACTTTAAACAAATTCCAGAGATAAAGTGCGTAAAAGCATTGTGCAATAAATCTGATGGCATCTGAAAAGCGTTGAGGATACTAAACGGCCGAATATCAGCTTACAGTAGCTCATATTATTTCTTTATAGTGATGATCGATCGCATTTTAAACACAATAAAATAGCGCATAAAATGACATATGGCTTATGTCCGTTCAAGGGTGACTGCTTTAAAATATAGATAAAAATAACAAAGAAAGACAAACATGAAGAAGCAATTTGACGAGTAGTCGAAATGAAAAGTTATGTGTATGTGTATTTACCGACTGAGGCCCGTTTCAAACGTCGTGCTACTGCCGTGCCGAATTTAATTGATACATAAATTCGACTTTAGCACGGCAGTAGCTCGACTTGGTTCAAACGTCGTGCTACCGCTCTGTCGAACTCAATTCATAAATTACAAATGCATTAGACTACATTTAAAAGTTTGCTGAACCGTTTCTTTATTATTCTATTTTGTTTTCGCCAACAGCCGTTCCATTCGACTGAATTAAATTCGACGTCTGAAATCAAGTCGCGCTAGTGTCGTGCTGGCCGCTTAATACAGGATCACTAAAAATACTCACTGGGCGTGGTCTAATGTCTCTTTATCATACCAAAATACCTCATGCAAGGAAAAAATAGAGCAATCAACACCCTTTCAAGCGATCAATACTTTAAACAAAGTTAAGAGATAAAGTGCGTAAAAGCATTGTGCAATAAATCTGATGGCATCTGAAAAGCGTTGAGGATACTAAACGGCCGAATATCAGCTTACAGTAGCTCATATTATTTCTTTATAGTGATGATCGATCGCATTTTAAACACAATAAAATAGCGCACAAAATGACATATGGCTTATGTCCGTTCAAGGGTGACTGCTTTAAAATACAGATAAAAATTAAATAACAAAGAAAGACAAACATGGGACTGCTACAGGGTGGCTGCGGCCGCTTTAAAATAGAGATGGTCGCCTAATACAGCGTTTGTATGAGCGAAAATTCGGGACAGAGATGGCCACCTCCCTACAGCGTTTGTATGAGCGAAAATTCGGGACTTTGAAAACTGGCCGCTTACTACAGGGCCGTTATATACAGGTTCGACTGTAATAACAAATCATAATTCGGCTCTTATTTTTGTGGAACTAACACGCGTCGGGTTTACGTGGGAATCCCGCGAGAAAACAAAAAAAAGGCGGAATATGAGGAGACGACGCGTTTGCCAAAGTATGCGATAATTTCGGGTTTGAGAAGCTTCTATTACAAGCACCATTAAGAAGCAATTTGACGAGTGGTCGAAATGAAAAGTGATGTGTATGTGAATTTACCGACTGAGGCCCGTTTTAAACGTCGTGCTACTGCCGTGCCGAACTCAATTAGGGGTGGCGAATGGTAAAATCCGAGACTAACCGAGACGCCGAGATCCTAGTTAGAAATTCGAGCCCGAGACTCTTTGGTAAAAAGTTTCAAGACTCAAAAAAGTAAAAAATGAGACTTCGAGACTTATAATAAACGCTTCCGAGATTTCGAGGACCTGACAAAATTTTCCGAGACCCACGTTTTTCGAGGTACCATTCGCCACCCCTTCAATTGATCGATAAATTCGACGGCAAGCCTTGCCGTGCTACACGGCAGTAGCTCGACTTGGTTTCAAACGTCGTGCTACCGCCGTGCCGAACTCAATTCATAAATTGCAAATGCATTACACTACCTTTAAAAGTTTGCTGAACCGTTTCTTTATTATTGTATTTTGATTTCGCCAACAGCCGTTCTATTCGACTGAATTAAATTCGACGTCTGAAATCAAGTCGTGCTAGTGTCGTGCTGCAGTCGAGCTAGCTTAGCACGACGTTTGAAACAGGCCTGATTGTGGTTAGTCTGATTCGTCTATCTTCGCTTGGAGTAAACGCAATTGACCACTCCAGAAAATACCATAACAAACCATAATGCTCTTTGTTTGTCACCCGAAAATTTTGCATAAGCATTGTCTTCAGTTTCCCTTGGGAGTTAAAATGGCCCCAAGGGAAACTTAAAACAATGCTTATGCAAAATTTTGGGGTGACAAACAAAGAGCATTATGGTATGTTATGATATTTTCTGGAGTGGGCAATATCGCTTAGTGATATCAGCTTGGCGGCGGACATAAAAGAGGTGGAAAACGGAAAATTTTCTATCGTTTACGGATCACTAGAATCATACGATGGCGAAGAATGTTGGCAAGCGAAACGTAGAAATAGTTGATGTAGTCCATGGTTGAGGCAGCTTCATTTTAAGCTGTAATTCATTCTTCTAAATCGCTATCCCTGAGAATTTCTTAACCATCCTGCAAAAAAGACTAGTAACGAGCTGGCCCCAGCGTGATACGACACTGCAGGAAAACATCACATTTACAAACAAAAGAAAACCGCTTTGTTATTCAGAACCAGAAGGCACTTTGGAATAAATTAGAGAACCTAAAACCTTTATTTAGCCACAGGAAAGAGCTCTACGCTTCAAAAGAGACCAAAGAAAATGCTCTTGGACCTTTTGCATCAGAGGGGAAATACTGCTCACCAGAAACAAAAACCACTATAAAAGCTCTTTCTTTTCACTCAAGACCTATTGTAGCATACGTGCGCATAAACATATCGTCTAATACTTGAAATGGTTATACTGCTGAAAATCAAGAGGAGAGACTTTTTTTTTAACGAGACGGCATTCCTATTTTGGTGTCACGCACCGGTGAAAAATCGGAAGTTCAAATTGCTGCATTTTCGAAATGAAACATGCTACGGGAATGGAAACTTGTACAAAGATTACTTTTTGTTTATCTTCAACCTAATGTAAATAAGAATCCGTAAAATCTCGCTATTTTGACTTTACAATTTGATGACGTCACTGCGAAAACCGTCTATAGCCATTACTTGACGGTAAAGCGTTTGCATGTCTCGAACCCTTAACCCAACAGTGACCAACATCACTTTTCAGTCACGTATTATACCCCCGCCCGGGAATTATCCATACACAATCAACAGAAATGGTCACGAGAATTCGTTAAATGATCTCCAAAGGGAAAATTCTCTCATCTAAATCTTCAAGGAAATGTATGAAGACAAGTCCGGAGAATTTTATATCGCAGATATGGTCCCTGAAAAAATTATAAATATTAAAATGTCATGTTTATTACATTCTTTTCACATTATTAAAAAAAACAGATGCAAACAAATACAATTTGCCATTAGCCCCATTAGTCCCTGGCGGCGAGGAGCTAGGAGAAACGGCTGTATTCGCAGGCTACATTAAACCTTTATTTTATGGCCTGGGATGGGATTCTTCTGTAATTTGCACCACCGGAGTTCCACTCACAATCTTGTTAATAAATCAAAACACTTGACACCACGCTGTACTTGGCAACAATGCATTGACTTGAAGTTGTGTGATAAAGGCCATTCAAAGGGAATGAAAGGTACAATGTGGAAAGAGTGATGGAGTTGTTAATGTCTTGAATTTCGCGACACTTTGTAGCAAACAGGCTGACTGGAAATAATAATAAAAAAAAACAAGTATATTGGGTGTTTTATATTTGTTTAAAAACTTCCGCCTTGACTATGCTCTTTCTGTAGTCTGGTTGTGTATGTCTTTGAAACTGTATTCCAAGCATCCATATACCTATCCATGCACATTGATAAGCATTTCTGAAAGACACAAACAAAAATAATAATAATAATTAAAAATTTACAACGCGCCTTTTCCATGCAAATATGATCAAAAATGCGTGACAAGACGTAAATGTTAAAAGAAAATAGAAGCTAAAATAAGAATAATAATTAACGCTAAGAGAAAACAACGCTTAAAATTAAATAAAGATAAAAACACTAAATATATCACACAGTAGGTTAGAAACATTACATATCAAAAACTATATAAAAAGATGCGTTTCAATTAAGTAAAGATTTAAAACGTTCAAAATTGTCCTCAAGACGGATGTGAAGGGGCATATTGTTCCATAAATTTGGGGCAGCAGATGAAAAGGCACGATCCCCTGAAGTCTTTTTCAGTTTTAAACTAGTAAGAATACTTTAATAAGATAAGACCGCTAGCTGAACGGAGATTATAGCGCGGCTGTTCTTTAATAGCAATCAAATCGATCAAGTAAGCAGGCGCATGACCGTAGAGCTTACGGCGGAATCCATTAAGTGATTGAGTAATTTTTATTTTCAGTAGACAAAAATCTTGTACCAGAATAATTTAAAGAGTATTGCTCTTCAAAGGCTATGCATGTAGTTAGTTATTTTTAATAACACCAAAGAAAATTTGTTACTGGAGCCCGAGAAAATAAATTTCAAAAGGTTCAAATTTCACAAAGCATGATTTGTACTTGTGTTTGCACAATTTCTGTGAAGTTTGAAATCAATTTTCTCTGCCAATAAGAAATTGTCTTTGGCGTTCTTACAGATAACTAATTATATCTATAGCCCTTGAAAAAAAGTAAAAAAGAATGTGAAATGGCTTAATTTATTCTGGTACAAGATTTTCGTCCAATGAAAACTAAAATTACTCACTTTCCTAATGGATTCTGTCTTAACATTTCATTCTGCTTTCCGTTTTATTACATTTGAAAGAAAAAAAAGGAAAGAAATGACAAAAGAAGCGAACACGATAAATGTACATGTACACCATAAACTGCCCCTTATAAGCCCCATCCCCCAGTTATGACCCAGCCCATCTACTTGTAAACAAAAAATACATCTGATTATAAGACCACCCCCCCCCCTCCACCCTCCCACCACAATTAAGCCACATCAGATATGTTGAAATGAATTCGATTTATTATGATGTTTTCAAGCCTAGGATGTAAAACTAGGCAGCTTGGCAATCAAGTGTTGTAGGTAATTTGAGGCTTTCACACCCTCACTGTACCCATTTTCCCCAAAAGTAGATGGCTCGGACCTCAAACTAGCCGGTATTTTAGCTGGTTGCCGCCACTTACCAGGGCTGTCAACACCCCACGTCATCAAACATTGAGAATTGATAGGGAAGAAAGGATAGATGATGTCATATCACACGACAAAATAATGATGTCATTTGTGCCAAAAATACTTGTTGATTCCGATCGACAAATATAGTACATAAACAGTTCATATTTAGCCACATTATTGCTTAAATTACAGTGGCATACCAGAATTTATGGGGAAACGTTCCCGCAGTAGCTCAAACAATGCAAAACATTACTAGTTTGAAATTTTATGGTCGGAAAGTCGAGTCTACAAGAAATAGCAATTTTGGCGATTATCTGGGAGATGCCATACTCTAATCTGGAGACCAGGAGATACGGTCCAAAATCTGGAGTCTCCTGGATTATCCGGGAGAGTTGACAGCACTGACGTACTGAGAACTCTGTAGCCCAAACAGATATAAGCCCAATTTATAAGCCTTCCTGAGCCTCCTAAAACCCCTTACGGAGATGTTTGAGCCCCGCGGCTTATAAGTGGCAGTTTTAAGTTTCAATATTGTTTCTTGTTTGATTTGCTTTTTTTTTTACAATAAATGAAATAATGGAAAAATTTACGAATCACGTGCATGTACATGAGTAATAATTATCATTAAGATTTCCCTGTTTAAATAATTATCATGAAAATTCTACATTTTAAAGCATCTAGCCAAATAATATGGAGAGCTTAAGAAAGAATGGAAGGCACCATCTAATACTATTCTTGATTAACATTCAATCCCCCTTCAAGAGCCATAATGACTGCCTGTATTAAGTGCCCACAAGTGTATGTACATTGTGCTGTCTTAGCCTCTCTTGTACAGTATCAAGTTTTGGGTTAGCGTTTTACTCATAATGTTATTGCAATATATCAATAGTGCATGCATACAGTATTACCCCAGTACATGGCTGGAAATGGTGACTGATACGGTCCCCAAAGCTACCAACATTTTCTCCTTGGTGACGAAAAATTCTGGTTTAGTCACCACTTTGCCGACCAAATTAAATTTTCTCTACGATTTAGATTTAAATTAAAAGAGTAAGGTTAAAACAAACATTTCACCTTATCTTGCTTTGCTCTAGTCATAAAAAATGTTCCAAATCGCATAAACAAAGCCAGTTTACCTCTAAATTTAAACCCACTTCTGTCTGCGATATTTTCAAACAATCAAATCTGATGGATTGCACCATACTATGAGCTGCGTCATTTACATTATACAAACTGGTGACTAAAAATTTGGATCTGGCAACTATAATAATTATTTCTCCAGCTGGTCACCAAATGGCGACCTGAGGATTTTTTTAATTTCTAGCCCTGCAGTATCAAATCATTAAGTGCCAAGGCTACTGTATTCTCTCAGTCATCAAGGACTCCCAGTATTTGTTTAAAACTTGATATGGCAGTCCCACAGGTGACTGAATTTACAGTCTATTCTGGCCTTCTAAGGATTCCCTCCTTTTTCTTTACACACTAGTGCACCTTGCCCTTATTAACCTTCAATCTTTTCCTACTACAAAAGTTCATTCTCAGAACCAGTGTTTATTCAGGATTTGGCTTCTTATAAGGAAAGACATACACTGTAGTACTATAAGTTAAGGGACTGTGTTATGGCTGTCTAGTTCATTTTGTTGATAATACCAGTTGCGCATTCTTATTTGCTATAGAACTTGAGAAATCACTTGTAAATGATAATATCAGAGCTACGTGTAAAACAAATATGTCTCCCAGGCATTAAATAATTAAATAATGACTGTTTCAAGCAACAAAAATGAACTTTGAAAAACTATCAGCCTAACAAGTTTTCAAAAACCATATAACGTCGTGGAGAGGTGTCCATTAAGAGAGAGCTGGCTGTAATAAAGTGCATTATATTTTATTTTCAACAAAGATATTCAATTTCAACTCACTCAAAAGTCAAATTTTTGACAGCGGATTTACCTGGTAACAAACCTACTTCTAGTTATTTCAGAAAGGATTTCATTCTCACCTGCTCTGAATTGTCCAACTGTGTCCCTGGCTTGTAAATGCACTTTTTGAAGCATTTATCTGACATTTTCTGGTTAAGAGGTAAAAGGATATAAAATGGCTGTTGATACCAGATATGTACATGAATGTACTTGCTTCAAAACACAAGAGGCACCAAGATAAACTAGTCTCTAACTCTTTATGGTAAAAATAAACGGTAAAAATTTTCCACAACATTATGGACCATGTGTTGGTCATTTTTACTATCAAACTGGCCAACGAAAAGTCATCTTTTGAACCAGTTGTATTACGTATGGGAGCCTGGTCTCCCCCTCTACCCCCCCCATCCCACCACCCCACCCCAGGAAGATGTCAGCTGTATGGCGTCACAATATTATTGACGGCTATGCTTTCAAAAAATCTCACCCTTAGCCAGCAAATTAACTTGAGAGCTGTGCATGCATCAGGGTTCGCCAATACACCAGAATTGTTCAGATGACTCCACAGAGGTTACGGAGGGAGTCTATTTGACTCCAGAAATTTTTAGTAACAAACAGGGAGCCACTTCGACTCCAGAAATTTTCGGTAACAAACACAGTTTTGTCCTTACCTTTTTCGCAACAAATACAATTTACGTTAATTGTAAATGTTGTAAACCTTAATTAAATCATCAAAATTAAAGAATTATACTGCACGACAAAACAGGAAGAGGGTAAATTATGATCAAAGTTTACTCGATGACCGCCATCATGGATTTGAGCTTTCCAGGTCAGCGGACTGCCACAGCTACTTTGTGTATCCCTCACGATAGTGTATACACGTACATGCCAGGACCACGTGCTGCAAAGTCTGAAAAAGGCTTTTTTCGTTGTGATACTTGACTCCAAATATTCCAAAATGACTCCAAAATTTGTGAAGCAGAAGTCACAGTGACTCCATTCATCAATAAAATTTGCAAACCCTGATGCATCATCAAATATGATCATCTCCATATTAAATTGCATCCCACGTGCTAAGAATAGACCTTATTCACGATACCCACCATCTTTTAATGCAATGAAGGTAATTCCAATGTTCTGCACTGTGCTTCACCTAGTGTGCATATAACATTGGGACTTCAAAGGTGGCTGTGATTTTCACCGGTCACTTAAAAAGACATAATTATGGCCCCTTTCGTAGTCCAACTGATTTTAAAGGGACACAGTCAGCTGATGCACAAATACATTAGATACTATTTCTTAGCTGATTTGCATGTCACAAGACACGCGCCTCAAACAGAATTTGAGAAGCGTATCGGGAATACTCAAAACAAACCTTGTAGAGTTGAACTAGTTACATTGAGAATTCACCGATGGATTTGTCCAGGGAAAGCCAAACATCAACGAATGCTTCTGAATTCGATCATCAGTAGAGGTGAGAAATGATACGGAGTCTGCATGAATCATTGTCGAAGGTTCAAGGTCGAGAATGTTTGATTTTCCAAACATATGCAACCTTTTCCATCTATTTTCCAAATATATATAACGATTATCTGCTTGCCAATGTTATTGATTCATTTCTTCTGTTATTTTGGTAACTGATAGCAATTTCTCTCACCCGGCACCTACACGTTTCTCACCTCTTCTGTTCATGTTCCTTTGGATACTGTTTTTGACCAAATATGATAAAATAATGTCATAGGATGAGTTAAAGCTTGCTCAAAAAGAGGTTTTCTATAACAGATTGAGGATCAAATGAAACACTAGGCAAGACTGAAGCGGATTTCTAGATGTATCCGAGGCGTACATTTGATTTCAGGTTGAGGTAAACACTTTCCAAACTGGCAAAAGTGGTGTCCAGGTCAGCACGGTCCGATAGCTGACTGTGTCCCTTTAATAGCGACCTTGATAATAATTCTACTTGGCTAAAAGGTTTTGGTCTTGAAACTCGCCCCAGTCCCCTCACACAAAATGATCATACGAAGGCGAAATAGGCCATTTGCACCAAGAGGCATGTGACATCGTTTTTTGAAAATGAAAGGTATATGATTTTGCCTTCGAAAAACGATTAGTGGGTCATATCTTAAACAAAATAATAGTGATTTGGTTTGTCAAACCCGCACCATTTTCTTAAAATGAGTAAGTTCGTAGCTGGTCACGTGACCAAAATGTGATTTTTAAAATTAGGAATTACATCTTTCAGAACACAAATTTTGCACTTAAAGTTCAAGGAAAATGTTGAAAAGATGATGTGGTAACGTTTACAGCACATCTGAGCGTAACTATCAAACGTTTAACAAGATAGAAGCAAAAAGTAGTTTTGGCCGCCATGTTGGAGGGCAAGAGTATGCCCTCCAACATGGCAGCCAATACAAATCATACTGCTTTGTTCAAAAATCAAAGTGCCATAAAATATCTCCCTTAAATGCATTTCCCCTCAAATTTCGGGTGTAAGATAATTTTTATGTGCTCTGTCAATTTTTGGCATCAGCAAGATTCCAACTCATTGTTTAAAGGAAGCATTGGTCACGTGACCTCTTAGTGCAACTGGCCTATTGTAAATGTCCTCACAGGATGACAGGAACAGGAAGCAATAACTACATAACACTTGGAAACACTGAAACTACTGTAAAACCTCGATTTCTCATTTAAGTACCATGTGACATCGCTTGCGCGTGTAATAAAGATGGCGGGTATCGTTGTTGCATTAAGCCTTGTATTTTCCGATGGATTGTGTGTAGTGCGAGCCGTACATAATGCAGCCAGTAATAAAATTAATTAAGTTGAATGAATATTATTGTCATGAATGGAAAACGCCGGTTGGGCACACATTTAAAGCTTATTTGTGCACGTGTAGTACACATGTAAACTGCCCTCCCTCGATATAAACTTACCGACAGTAACTCCTGCAACTGTGCGACTAAAAGCTGGCTTTTAACTTGGTCCATCAATTCACTTCTTTTAGCGCTATCCATTCCACCTCCTGAACTGGAAGAAGGCGACGAAGAAAAGCCAAAATCTGCCATATTTGATGGACTATTTGATGGGTATGTGGGTATGGCAGAGCGAGTCGCGCCGAGAAGCCGTGATGATGTAGGTGGCCAGCGGAGCTACTCTAACAGCTACTCACTCTTCCCAGACCTCCTCCTTTTTACTTCCGTAGCTTCACTTTCACTAAGGTCAGACAGACCACCGGTATATGTACAATGGCAAACCATAGCATTGTCGAATATTTTGGAGATTCAGGAGGCCATCGATGTGGTTATTGCAATAGCAGCGATACTAATTTTTCGCATGGTAAGCCTTCTTCCATACCCGTTGCAACGCCGTTGCTTGTAAATTGCCTGCTTGCAAACTGCAAAACTGGTCTACTTCCAGAATTGTTTATTGGTGAGAGAAAGTCTATACACCCTGGTTTCTCTCGCCAATCCAAAGAACGGAAAGTATACTCCACCTGCAGCAAACTTTGGGTTTAGTTAAGCTTCGTTGCAGCAACAGTTTAATGCTTAGCTTTATGCATGAGAGCGTATAGAAATGGTTGTATTTCCAACTTATACCTTTCATTTTTTTCTTAGGGATGTGGGCTCATACGCTAACATGCTTGGATTATCAGGATCTTATTGATCGAGGATGGAGAAGGTTTGTAATTATGTTCAGTGTTGTTTGTTTGTTTGCAGAAACTTACATAACAATTCTCTTTGTAATAAGTCTTGCTTGCCTTTGAAGGGTGCAGCTGGAATTGACTGATGCATTACAATGTAGAATTGTTATGGTAAATGACCGATCGTTTGTTGCGTCCCAGACGGGGGGGAGGGGGGCGGGGTAAAGTTTTGTAAGATGCATGATTTTAAGGGGGTCAATTTTAAAAATGCACAGAATGTGAGGGGGGTCGAAATATTAAGACACAGGACTGGCCTTCTATGTAAAAGTTGTCAAACTATATTATGATTGAAGCAAATCCATGTTTCCTTCAAAAGAACACAAAAAAAAATACACTTTGGCGGTTCTTTGTCAGCAACAAAATGTTACCCGCATAAAGCTTGGACCAGGAACCTATCAACTATTTCTCCTACCAGGAATGTAGCATGCACGTACACGTGCATATACACCTATGCATACAGCCGAAATCTGGAAAAAATATATAGATTTTTTTTATTTCCTGAAAGCATTTTTATCATTAAATCAAGATAAATATTTTGCATTGTATTGGTGTTTTTGTGCTAGGATTTCCGTTATCCTTTTACTGATTATGGAGTGAAATGGAGCTTAATGTGAAGCCACAGACCTTGGTTGAGACCAAGCCAACTCCAATTCTATCCTGGAGTATATGTCACGGCAGTGCTTGACGTTAACTTTTTTGGACACTAGGCAATGGGCTAGTGAGTGAATTAAATCAGTAGCCCAGAAGGACAAGTCACTGGTCCAAAAAAAAGTACCGGGGGAGGTGGGGGTTAGTTTTCAACTCTTTACTAAACCAGTTTATAAATCAATTTTCATGAAAATTCAACTTAAGAGGCAAAAAGAGTAGACATCAACAGTGATAAAACAAATGGCTTATGTTGCTTTGTTTCTTGTCAGTCCAGAGTTCAAGAGGCAATCTGAATGTCTTGTGTCAGAAGACATGAAAATGATTACATGTAGTAACCTTAATTAATTAATTATTAATAAATTAATTAATTGATTTCAAAAACTGATAAGGCGCAAATATCTATATAAATATATTCAAATGCCTTTAGTATAAAGCATAATGCCTTTAGTATAGTAATAACCTTTAGTTTATTGGCTCAGTTATGCTGTGATCACAATAGGGCCATTTATATAAGGAAATATAAGACGTGTCCTACATACTTGTCTTAAATAAGATGCGAACTGTACCAATTATACAAGCATGTCTTATCTAAGACGAGAACAGCTTGTATAAATGGTTCGCGTCTTATTTCTGTTCTTTACTCGTTTTCATGTGAATGTTGCCCGAAGCAACGGCAATCCAGCATGGCGCGCCAAAGATTAATGCATGCGTACTATGCGTTCGTGTCTTATGAAAGACGTGAAGGTCATTTATACAAAGGTTTTCTCGTCTTAGCTAAGACGCGTCTTATCTAAGAACAGGTGTTAAGGGCTGTTCTAAAATAAGATGCGTCTTAGCTAAGCTGTGTCTTATTTCAGACGAATGTGCCATTTATAAGGAAAGTTCGCGTCTTATTTAAGACGCGTCCTATGTAAGACGCGTCTTATTTTTCCTCATATAAATGGTCCTAATGATACGCTTGACTACTGGTCAAGCACAGTTCTATAATCATAGGTGATCATTTATAAATTCCCTTCAAGTTGGTGGCAAATCTTTGAAAAACTTCTGCTAAAACTACTGATAAAGTACTTTAGAAAACATGTAGAACATTTTGTTCGCTAATCTGTTCCAGGGGCTATTAGGAGCACACTTTTACTAGCCCAGCATGAATTTTCACTAGTCCTGGGCTAGTGGACTAGCATTCGTGTTGAGCACTGCATGGGCTCTCATGACTTTGTTGACTTATCGTGTGTCAACATTCACAGCTGAGCGTAGCTTCAGCAGTATGAAGAGACTTCAAACTCCTTTACGAAGGACCATAACAGTTGAGAGATTGAGCTCTCTTGTAATTCTGCATATGAACAAAAGGACGTAATTGATATTGATGGCATTATAACAGAGTTTCCCTGTCTGAAGGGTACACATCTCACCCTTTGCTTGTAACCTCCTTTATGGCAGCACATCAACTCTGTACCTTACTAATAACATTAGGGATGGGTAAAATTTACAACTACTTACTGCATTTTCCTTCATCTTTATTTACTGAGAATGTCCTGCAGAAAATGCAGGAGATGACATTTCCGAGACCCTAAATTTAAAAATTTTCTGGGGGAACTCCCCCAGGTTTGGGGCACCTTCGGTGCACTGACTTTTCTTCTCCTTCAAAATCTCATGCTGCGCTGCTGAACCCCAGCATCTTATAGCTTATGAAATCAATGCCCAAGGCTGGAAGAAGAGACTTGAAAATTGTTATTGCCAAGTTGGGGTACAATTTTCATATGCAATTATTTTGGGGGGTTTAAGTTTTGATACACCACTCTTCTGAAAACCCCTGCCTCCCTCTGGGACGTCATAAACAATCAGTCCCTAACAAAAGGAGTCACGAAACATGCAAGCTGGATCAAGTCAAAGACAGTAATATTTAACAGACTGCAGAATTGAATCAAAGGGTTTATAACATTGCAAGTTGAGTGCAAGAAATGCAGATGTGGCATGTAAATCGTAATAATATTATTATTTTGTACTGCTCGGAAAACCATCCAAAGAATTGGAGTAGACTTACATGCAATGTCGTTAGGGGTTTAGGTTTCCAATAATTTCAGAACGTTGTTTGCATTTTTTATCTTCTAATCCACAAGTCTATGGTTTGCATCTGTTGTACCCATTCAATCTCCCTGTCACTTGATATCCAGAGTACCCTGCTCCCCCTCCCCCTGGGAGCATATTCGTGGGTGGCTTAGGGGTTAAACCCACGGGATCAGTGGCCTCTCATACCTGCATAATTTATGTATAAAACTGTTTGTCTCTTACAGGAGTGGTAAATATTTGTATAAACCAACTATGAAAAAATTATGCTGTCCAATGTACACTATCAAGTATGTGAACTTCTTTGCTGTACAATTATTATTGGTAATTATTATTTGCATAACAATGTTTTTCTTACTAGCAAATTTCCAGGTTAACAAAAGTTCCTAGAGGAGACTCTTTTAACAAGAAAAAAAAACAAATCTATACGTAGTTACTATCTGGTAATTTTTCACTTCAGGTTTTTCTACTTTAGCCGCAAAGGAATAAACAGTAATGAGATTTCATTCAATTAATCAAACCAGGTCAAGTATACTTTTGCCCAAAAAATTTAAATTCAAAGTCAAAATAATTAAAAAGTTGCAAAGAGGGATGACAATTGCTAAAAAAGTTGAAAAAAAATGTTTTTCCTGAACAATAATATTATTATTGTCTAGGAGAATTTGTTTCCATAAAAGCCATCCTGACAAACAAGTAAATAATTAATTACTAATAACGATTTACGGTAGAGGTAGCACATCCACTTAGTGGTTCTTCGTCTACCATCCCTGATCCACGTGTAATTGGCATTTGTAAATGTTGGTTTTGAAGAGAGGGGAAAACCTGAGTACCTGGAAAAAAAATTCTTGAAGCAAGAGCGAGAACCAACAGCATACTCAACCCAAATTGTTCATTTATCTGTGTCTGAATGCAGCATAATGAAACAAAAGATAAATGGTTTCTTGAATTCCCAAGCACAGGTGCATTTGTTGGCAGTGTCTTTAAGTGCCGGTACGAGATTATATGAAGAAAGTGTGATATGTAAAGTAGCATGCGCAAGTGTGGATTTTCAATTTAAGCGGACCTCGTGCTCGGCAGACCGGCGCTTTCCCAACTGAGCTAGCCAGGCGGCTCCACTGACTTTAAGAAAAGAAATATCTTTGATTATTAATATTATTATTTTTCTGGTTGATCATTTTATTTAATATTTATCTATTAATTTTTCTCTTTATTTCCCAGATGCAATGCTACTGCCTTCCATCCTTCCAAGTCGCAAAAGAAAGTTCTTAAAAAAATGACAAAGTTCCTTACCGTTCCTAAGACAGGTAATGATCCCAACATGAATTGTTATCTTTTTAGAGCTGTGTGAGATTTGAATTGAAAAAAAAGTAAATTTGTGAGTGAGGGTAGCAAGAAACAGAAATACCTTAATAATGAATCATAAACATGATTACGTAAACTATATTATTATTTTTTTTTCAAAACTTTTTCCCACCTAAACCTTTTCCTTTCCCTTTTAAGTTTTAGCATAATCACTTCACTTACTTGTACTTCTGCCAATCTCCAGAGATCAAAGATCTGAAGAGATTTTTTTCAGCTTGCTCTCTCTGTCATGTTTTTCAGCAAAACCAGTTTTTTTTTTTTCACTGTATGTTGTTTGAAGCTGATCAACTT